AATATAGCTTTTGCACATGAAACCATATCCTGAGAGAATTCCATTAACGCTGCCAAATTTTTAGTTCTCAGTCATCCTTCTGTACAAAAGCGCACTGCATGCTGCAAGACCTAACTTGCACATCTCTTTTCCAGCTTATTGTATTATGCACTTAAAATTTTTCTCCCTACTGCATTTCGAAAAAAAACAAAAAATAAAACCGTTTGGCTTGGAAGTTTGCAGAAAGAATTCGAAATGCAAAGGGAGAGATTACTCATAAAGAGATGAAGGGAAAGGTATGCTAACTTGAATTGAATATCTGTCCATCGTCGATTAACTTTATGGACATCACCATCAATACATACACCAAGTTCAGCAGCTGCAGCACGAAAAGAATCGATCCCTCGTTCTCCGTAAGCCCCAGTTACAGCGATCGCATGCACATAACTCCAACCTAGTGCCGAAACCTGCTAATATCCGAAATGCATTTCGATGAATCACTGAGTTATGTTATCTTTTCTATTGATGATATAAAGTAATGATTTGTTAAACATGAAATTACTTAATTGTCATATGACTGTCTCCTTTTGATAAATTATCTATCACAAGGTTAGGTGCATGTGATTCGGAGTGGTCATCTGATAAGCAAAGAAAGAGAAAAAAAAATAATACGCAATAAAAGAAAGAAGATTTAAAAGCAGCGATTATTGGAATGATTTATGACTGAAAAAATTTCCGATGCTTACTTACCACATGCGCCATAGCAGTAGCTTGGAAATTATCTGGTGGTACCACACGTGAAAAGTAAGCAAACCTGAAATGAGAAGTGAGTGTCTCAACGTCGACAACATTTAAACTGGAAATTTTTTTTACAGGAACTCAGTTCGTTTTTAAATTTCATTCTTTATTTCTAATTATTATCAAAAAAAAAGTAGTGAAAAGGGATGAAATGTTTGTTTTGTTTAACTCTTCACAAACCTCGGCTTTTCGCTAAGTTCAGTGCCTGTCGACGAATAACTTATTTGTGGCACCTGAAATGCGATCGTTCATTTTCCATTTTCAATTTACCTTACTTATCAACCCATTAAGGGATAGATATTCTGTCAGCGATAAAATACAGAATATCAATACAAACGAATTAGTTTCAGTTTTCAGATAGGTATGTTATCAACAAAAATGATCATATTAATTAGCTAGTTAGATCATTGTTTCGAATAGGTCATTCCATTTGGAAAAATCCTACAACTGAAGCTAATTAGGCAGATGAAAGGAAAAAATTTGATATTATCAAAAAAGGGAAAGTTCTTGAATGCAATTCGGCTTCTCAAAATTTTTCATTAAAATTATTTTATGGAATGAAATGTTTACTTTAAATAGCTGCAGCATAGATGCCACCATAACAGAAACTTGACTACTGGCAGCACCAATGACAGCCGCAACTGGATGATGTTGATAGATGGGTTTGGAACCATCGGAACAGTAAATCTCTTCCGCTTGCGACATTATCGTTTTGATGAATACCAATGTTTGTTCTAATGCATACGAATCAACTGAGCTTAAGTAAATAACTTCATAAGCATGCTTTCCTTGGCATTTTCAATCATAATTT